TTGTTGTTGTTGTTGTTTGTTCATTTTTTCGGCTAGAAAGCAACAACTCAGCAATATTCTTTCAACCACCCAGAACATCACTGCACTCATTACTTAAAAGCATTACTTACAATTCCTGAGAAATTATAGTTTAAAAGATGTAGTTATTTCAGATTGTTTCTATTTTAGTAGTTATAGTTTAGTAGATTTACTTCCTTCTGTTTGTTTCTATTTTAAAACGTACAGTTTTAAGGTGAATACATTAGCGGCTATTTAATGAGGTAGATGACCAGATTCTAAAGCAGTCTTTACTGTTGCTATCACAGTTTATTTTTATTTGCAGAAACCCTCATAAAATCTTGTAAAGTGCTTTGTGTGCATGTACCCATGCTTTTATCAGTTATCATTGTTGCATGCTTTGTCTGTACGTTTTTTTTTTTTTTTTTTTTTTTTTTTTTTTTTGCTTGAGTCCTGCTCAGAAAAGATAGTTGGCTGCCAATGCTTTTCTCTTGAACTGCCAAGGTCAGGGGTTTTCAAAGTTTCTTGAAGCTTCCCCAGCACTGCACATTTTGGATGTTTGTCATATTGAACACACCAAACTCGGGTCATGGAATACTTTACTATTCAGCCGATGACTTAATTCTCTTGGGTTACAGAATGGAGACATTCCAAAAATCTGTAATGCTGGTGAGGCTCCATGAACAGTTTTAAAACCTCTGGCCTAGATTATTTTGACATTTCCTTGTATTGGATCAAAGTGATCCATCCTCTTGCCTCTGAAAGTGCTTTTGCCTTCTGCTCAGATTTAGATCTCTTGCTGGAGATTTTCACCTTTAATCTTTTGCAGTTGCGTTCAAAAAATAGGGGGCAGAGGGCATTGAAAGTGACCCTTGTAAGAGGCTATAACCTGGAGTCACTGTGGCTCTGTCTGTTACAGAACAAAGTGGAAGAGCTCAATCAACGACTAAGACAAGTTATTGATGGTAACTCCCTTCCCTTCTCTCTGGAATGCTTGATGCTGAACAGATTTTTGATAATAGTTAGCTGCTATGGTTCATATTGAGTGTTATCTAAATATTATTTGCCTATTGAAAGGGAATAGCTGACCCAATCATACAACTCTGTCAGTATTTAGTCATTCTCATTTACTTTGCACGCTGTTTCCAAAAAGCAGTGAAAGAAAAAAAATTGTAGCACACACTCTTTCACACAATCTGTTTCATACAATGTATATTATATTATATAATATTGACCGCAGGTTTAAAAAAAAACATGATTTATCCGGTAGTTGATATGACTTCTGTGCTATATTTGAAGTCTTCTGGAGTTGTTATATGTCTGAAATATAAGTTATTCACTGATAATTACATGTCATGCATTTAACAGATTTGCAAGTACTGTATGCAATGGCTAAAGGTCCTTTTTGGAGCTCCCATCTATTTATTTGTGAATTTAACAGAAAGTCATATGGAACAGTGTTTCCCATTCATTACCTATGTCCCCCTACAGTTTTATAATTAACCGAAGATATATTAATACTTTATAACACAAAAGTTCTTTAACTGTGTTTTACACATCTCAGAACAGCTCGGATCACAGTGGATGCATGCAGTGAACTGCATGTGCTGTGAGTTTAGCATGCATTTGGTAACGCAACGGGCACCAGTTACAATTTTTTTTTTTTTCAAATTTGCATAATTTCTAACATTTTTATGGGCAGATGATTACAGCATTTCACTAGATTTGTAATGAGATGGAGTTGTAAACCTGTTTTCACAGAAATTGCTTGTGACAGGAAAATGAGAACAAAGGAAACAGGATTAAACTATAATTAAACCAAAACAGAACATACACGTGACAATAACATGCTGTAAATTAATTGACAGTGTTTGTATTTTTGGGTGAACTAACTCTTGCCTGGTTTATAGGGATTATTCAGCCCAAAATTTTTATCACTTTTAAGAACACATATATATTTGCAATAATCTTAACATAATTTTGTCCCATCCACTGAAAGTCCATACAACCAATACTTTCAAACTTCAAAATGTATATAAAGACATTGTAATCTATATGAATCAAGCACTGCTTTGATCCAAGTTTTCTGAACAGAAATTATCGCTGGTTTTGTGGACTTTTAATTGATGTACTAATTGATGGTGTACTAATTGATTGTTATTCTGTTTTGTTTTGTTTGTTTGTTTGTTTGTTTGTTTCATATTAAGAGATTACTCCTACTTTTGTTTTTCATTTTTAGACAAGAAGAATCTTCCTTATGGTCGTCCAGCGGTCATGTTCCGCACCAAATACTGCATCCTTCATCATAGTGAATACATTAGCGGCTACAGTGAAGCTTTGTCTATGCCTCTCTGGACATCTTATACTGTATCTAAGCAGGTACAATTGACAAAATGTTAGTTTGCTGTCAATTCGCAAAAAATAAAATTGGTAAACTGTTGACTGTCTGAGTCTAAACTTGAATTTGTGGCTTTTCTGTTGCAGGTAGATTTCACCCCTCTGACTGAGGATCTGAGTAACTGTGTTCGGCCTGATATTAGAGTTCTTCCAGCCTATAGTCAGTCCTGCTCAAGCTACCGTGCAGACAAACAGATCACCTACAGCTTCCTCTATCCACCTCGTGAGGCTTCCTTCTCTCTATAGTGTGCACCCTAGCCTCAGTAATGTCATGTTTAAGCCAATTCCAGAAACCAGCAAGACAGGATTAGTACAGCATTGGGCTTAATCTTACTTGGGCTTCTGTCCTGAAAATCAAGTTTATAGTGACCAAAACTGTGTCAAAGGATAAAATTTAAACTGATATCTCAATTGATAGAATTGGGTCAGAGCATTTTTTAGTACACAGTTTTTAGGGTTTTTAGTTTTGTGCTTTCACACAAATTGGTATAAAAACTGCAAGAATTTTGACTTTATTATTCGATGTCTGTTAAAAAAAATGTATGATCTTATAATTGACAGAGCTTTCCTCCACCCTGGAACCAAGATATGATGCTGTTCTCATTACCAATACTGTACCAATGTATCCAGCATTCAAACGTAAGTGTTTCTTTAATGCTTGCATTGATTGCTCGTTGAGTCAGCCAAGATTTTTACCGCTTTTTTTCACAATAATTTAAAGGTCCTAAAGTCTTAAAATCTTTTTTTGTGAGTGCTTGTTCTAGGTCTTTTGTGAACAATTCAGCTGTGCATTTGTTTCTTTTTTATTAGTTTTTATTTTGATCATGTAATTAATCAAAGTGCCTTCTAGTGAAAATGCTGATAATATAATTAAAGAGCAAGGAGGAAACAGATTTGATGTGTCTAAATGTAAAACTTTGATCTTAAATTGAGACAGAGCTGTCAGATTACCCAACATCTGTTGAAAAATACCTAAAGTAACAAATATAAGCCTAAAGGTAGAGAAGGGTAGGAGGAGGGATGCTGGAGAAACACCATCAGAGGGAGGTAGGCTACGTTACTGCTTATACCTTTGTAACATGATTGATGCTACAAAGGTACGTTTCACTCCCATCTGCACTTTTTATATCACAATAATATAAAAAGCAATTTTAGTTGCTAAAGCTATTTTAGTCTTATCGTTTATGATAAGTGTTTACAAATACTATTGAGCCACAAATCTGAAACATTATCTGAAACATTTATGTTTGCTATAAGATTTTCTGGGATGATTTGTATCTTTTAGGAAATCATGAGTTTTACTTAACCATTATGGCCCCCAGGAAACCCTACAAAAAAGGTGACAATGAAATTAAGTGCTCTTGTGTGTGCGTGCGTGAATTAATTTGTACATCTGTCTGTGAATTAGAAGCATATGTGTGTGTGGCCTGTAGTAGCACTTTGAAAACAAGCCACCTAAGAGCCACCTCTGTTTCAGAAGGAACTGTACACACACATTGCATCCCCTCATAGGAAACGAGTCCCCACAAAGGCACCCAAACAAAATGCTTACTCAAATATTCACAGAAAACATTATTTAGATGTAAATAAAATTTCCTTTATATTAGTTCAGGTTTACAAACAGGCTCCCCACATGTAATTTCCCTCTCTGGAATCTGTAAATGTGTATTTAGAGGGTTTGGCAGCAGAGGTGAAAGGAGAGTGCAGTGATGAATACTGTGTCTGCTTTAGATTAGCTGTGCTGGGCTTAGGCAGTTAACTAAGCTGCCACCCACAGAGGGACATAACCCATTCCATAGCTTACAGCAGAATGTGTTCTCTGTCTTTTTTCAAAACATGTTTTAAAAAATCCTCTCTTACTCTGTATTCTTAAAGAGCTATTTCTGAAGTATTTAACTCATTCAAATTGTTTTATTGGTATAAATGAATGTATTTGTCATGCGAGTGATTGTAGTAATTGTCAAAGACAATTCAGCATCCAAAACAAAAACTTTATTTCTAATTGAACCAGGAACACCCAGGTGATTGCAGGAGTAATATTAATTATATAACACAACGACTTAAAAAAATTACAATAACCAACCAACTAAGACTACAAACTAAATACAAATGACAAACAAGGGAACTAGACAAGACACGGGAAAACATAACAATATAAACAAATGGGGACATAATCAGAAACCAAGGAAGCCAAAACTAAATAGAGGGAAGGAACAGGAAAAAACTGTAACATACAGTAACCATGACGTAACACTCCCTCCCGAAAGCTGGCGAGCTGATGACGGACAGGACACCTGTGGAGTAGGCAGAGGAAGATCCTATGGTGGAGCTGACTGAGGGAGGAGCTAGGGTGGAATTTTGCTGATGATCCGGGCCAAACCTGGGTGGTCTTATGATTGGGAGATACCAGGGTCTGTGGCTCTACCAATGGAGAAAATGTAATGGCCCACTTGTAATAGCATGTGCCTTGATAACCAATCACATTACAGTCTTGATGCAAAATTTTCCATGATTTCTCTTATAAAATAATGTTTTCATTGTAATTTTTAGGATATTAAAAAAACAAATATTTAGGGGCAAATTTTCCCATTAAAGCAGTGTTAAGGCAAAAATTCAACAAACAGACATCACTTCGTAAGAGACACTCTGAGTCAAATTAATAAAAGGAAAAGGTTTATTATTCTTGCAAGAACAATAAGGCTCAGTCACCAACACAGATTACTGCGAAGTGGAGTGACGCCCAGAACACAGGCCGGGGTGAAGACTAAATAGCCCTCCCCAAGGTTATTTACTGCAAGCCGAGCCTTCTCTGTAAATTTCCACAAAGTTATAGGTGTCACGGGGGAAATCCAAGGAAGACGAGGAGGAAGGTATAATTAACAGGTAACTTTAATGAATGGAGTACGGGAACAGGACGACAGCGTGTACAACACAAACAATACCGGACAAGGGAGTGAAGACAGGCAGGAACTTAAATACACAGTGACGGTGATAACAGATGACAATCAGCTGTGGGGGAGGTGATTAGTGTCCATGGAAACAGATGAGGGCGGAGAACTCAGACGAGGGGAACACGTGGTGAATCAAAACACAGACAGTCCATGGGTGGTGACAGATCGCCCCCCTCCGGCAAGGCGCGACCTCGCGCCGTGGCAAAATGACGGAGGGGGAACCGGGGGAGGTTCAGGTGGAGGACGAGACGATGGTGAATCACAGACGAGAGGCTGGAGTGACGGAACGGTGAGGGGACGATGACGATTCCCTGGCGGCCTTGATGGGGATGGCGCGGTGGCGCAGACCCAGAGCCTCCCAGTACCGACAGCCGATGGCAGGGATGACGGAGGGAAGAAACCAGATGGCGAGGGGACTGACGGTAGCTGGGGGATGACCGACGGAGACTCGGTGGCAGGATCTCTCGGCGCAGACAGAGAGCCGGTGGACTCCAGCGACGTCATCGGCATAGGAGACCCCGGTGACGTAGCGGCGACGAGCGCTGGAGCCGTAGCCAGAGTGCCCGAGAGCTGAGGTGGAGTGAGGGAGGACAGAGGAGACGCCACAGGGAAGGAGGAGCCCGCCGAAGCCGGAGGGGTGGAGGGATCAAGCGTAGACGACTGACCGCAAGTCCGTGGCGCAGGCAGAGTGACGACTGACTAAGGGGGAGCCGGCAGGACGAGGGAACCCGCTGCAGCCGATGTCTTGAGGGTCTCAGGCGGAGGCGCAGGTGGGAGGAGCCAAGACGGAGCCGGCAGGTCGACTGGCCGAGATGGAGTGCCGAGGACCGAGGCTGGAGGCGAAGCCGTGGGATCCTCGAACACAGGCGCTGCGGATGGTGGGCTGACCTGCCGCTCGACGTCGGGGACTCCCCACGGAGATGGTGCAGGGCTGCGCACATCCAGCAGCGGCGAGGCTGGAGGACTGACTGGGAACGGAGATGGAACAGCGTGAACCAGACAGACAGCAGGGCAGAAGTCATCACAGGATGATTCAAAATATGAAAGAGATGCAGATGACGGGTGGGATAGGGCGGGAACGATCTCCAGTGTCCTGGGTTTCATCAGCCAGTCCTCCAGTTCCGGGAAATTAGTCCCCTCGTCCGCAGATGTCGTGGGCTCACACCCCTGGTCAGACTCCTGTTGGAGCTCCTCCTCCGGGGCGAGGGTCAACTCTGTCCTCTTCGTCTCGGGCACTGGTTGACGCGTCGCGGCGGGTGGTAGCTCTCCGTCTGCGGGGGGCACGCACGAGATCTCCGCGGTCGAGGGTGGTGATTCCGGCTCTGGGTCTGGCAGTGTTCTGGATCGGGCTTCGACGCTCTCCAGACACCGGGAAACGGCCTCCTTCCAGTCCAGGTCAGAGGTGTCTGGGAGGTCGAAGTGCTGGTGGTAGGTGGCCCCGATCCAGAACAGGGTCTTCAGGGTTTCGTCATCTAGGGGGCTGGAGAGTGCAAGTGAAACAAAGTCTCTAGAAAATGAAACAAAATCTGGTGATGACTCGGCTAAAGTGATGAAATCGATATTCATCTTGAGTTTGGTCCGGTATTCTGTCACGGGGGAAATCCAAGGAAGACGAGGAGGAAGGTATAATTAACAGGTAACTTTAATGAATGGAGTACGGGAACAGGACGACAGCGTGTACAACACAAACAATACCGGACAAGGGAGTGAAGACAGGCAGGAACTTAAATACACAGTGACGGTGATAACAGATGACAATCAGCTGTGCGGGAGGTGATTAGTGTCCATGGAAACAGATGAGGGCGGAGAACTCAGACGAGGGGAACACGTGGTGAATCAAAACACAGACAGTCCATGGGTGGTGACAATAGGATTCATGATGCCAGGTTAGATTTACTAACCCTCTCAACCCCTCCCAGTCTAAGATGACCCCTGAGTCTGACCCGGCCGGTCCTCTGGTGCCTAGCTCCACTCTTGATAAGGGAGAACAATTAATACATGTGAGATTAAAATTCCCCACAACAATTCCCCCCTGTTTATCATTAGCTTACCCATAATCATAATAATAAACAAAGACAAATTTTAAGCCCAACATCACATTTATACCCTTCAATTGATTTTCGCATAAATGACCACTCTGCTTAAACATCTGTTGAAAAAATAGTATTTGTAAAAGAAGAAAGCTTAAGGCTGTTTTTGCGGAGTAAAGCTCCATTAATTGTCTAGCAAGCAAGTAAAGCATTTTATTTGAAGCCGGGCTAAATGAATAATCACTGTTATTGCACTCCTGATAAAAATCAGACCCTTAGTCACTCCAAATATATAAGAAATAGGTTATAGATTAGCAAGAAAAACAACCAACAAAACCCCATAATTGTTCCAATATGATATTAAAATACACCAAAATGCAGCAGTCCTATCGCTACAATTGGCAGTACCGTCTGGATTATCCAGTACACCCATCCTCCCCACATAGACATGAACCACCCAACCCATGCCCCATTAGCATGTTCAGGCTCCTTTACCACCTGTCTCATGTGTTCAATCCACCAGTTATGTTGTCACTGTAGTCTGGAATGTTAAAACAACACTTCTAATTCAATTTAGTAAGCCCTATTGAATGCTTGTTAACAAATCTTACCAGATAAGTCTTATAATTTTATCCTTTCCTGTAACCAAATTAGTTGTTCAAAATGAACTCTAATATCTCTAGTACAGACACATCGATCAATACATTTCCTATATTTGCACCAATCAAATCAATACTTAGTTTGATTCAACCAAAATCATCAAAATCATCACAGAAACAGATTCTCCTGTTAAACTTAAACCATCAGTTGGCAGGTGGTTCCTCCAGGTGTGTTGATCATCTCGTTCGCCCCATGGACGTTCCATGTTCACCAGGGTGACACTTTGCGTGCCGTCGCAATGGTCTTCCCACATCGGGAGGGAGGCTGTTACTAGCACTAGCCTTTGACCCCTCACTTTATGCTCTATTGGATGGTTGAGGCCTGTTGGTGTTGTCTTAAGGTGAGAGGCTTGGACCCAGTTATCACATTCTCCAACCATTTTCTGATCCTTTCAAGGTTTCCCTTAATTCACGACCGCACCCCCACTGGAGTGAACCATTTCTTGCCTGTTTTCACCTGCGAACAGAGACCTTAACTATTCTTGTTAGTGACAACATCTATTAACTCATCTGCTTGTCTGGCCAGTCTTCCCTTTTAGTTTGACCTGTGGAATCAACAACCTGAAACATTATCACTGGATCATTTCTTGCACCTTTCAGGGTCCTTTTCCCCTGGAAAACATTCAACTCATATTGCTCATGTCCTCAACATAACGTTTATACATTTGGAACAGAATCAGTTCTGTTTGCTGCAATCCATCCTGAGATTCTGTAAAAGGAAAATCTTAGTTATGCCCTGCGCAGGTGTGACACCTTTCCACCACACTAATAACCCATGCCAGGGTAGTTAGCCAAATTCATCCATAGCCATTATTTTATTAGACATATTCTGGTCCTGTCTTAAAAGTCCGCATGATCTGTAGAGAAAACAAATGTCGAGGTTATTTTCAGATAGTAAAGTACACGTAGTTTCCTTTGTCTGTTGTGCTGCCATGGCCTTCGCTGCTGCCTCTGCCCTGGCGTCTCCTGTTGAAACAGTCCTGAAATTGTGTTATCAGCGTGTGCAGCCCACTTATAGACAGCAACATTGCCCCACCCGTGCAATGGCTTTCAGCAAATTTGAACCCCTCAGTAAACCCATATTTGGCAATTGTTACCATCCCCCTTTTGATGCATGACCCAGCTCATGCATCAATTTAAATGAATCTAATTCTCCAATCAACACAAACCCAAACAGCATCCTTCAGCCAATTTTCGCCCAGACATCTTTCTCTGCCTCTGAAACAAAAATATTACTTAAAGGCCCAATCTCACCTTCTTATCGAAGTTTTTGAAGGGCAACGGCCCTGAGTCTCACAGCGAATCCTGCTTTTCAGGCCTGTTGTTTGGTCTCTCAAGTCAGTTATCTACAAACATTTCCAAAGTCATCAATTGTTTCTATCAGGTCAGGGGCCCGTTTCAATAAGGAGGTTCAACCAACTCTGAGTTAAAGCTTGAACTCAGAGTTGACTTACCCTGAGATGGGAAACTCTGAGTTTTCGGTTACAGAACAGCTGAAATGAGTTAGTTCAATCAACTCTGAGTTGACTGACTCTGAGTTAAGCGCGTGCACCATGCACAGCTATAAAAAGCCATTATCAATGGAGCGCAGATATTACGAGTCACCATGGCAACAGCACCAGACAAAAAGAGGTGTTAGGTGTAATTAATTTCCAAGTAATCTAAATATTGTAATTTAATTAAAGGGATTACTCTTAATTCTTCTTTAATTTAAAATAAAATATGATGCAATTACATTAAATAGGCTACTGCATAAACTATAGACCAATTCAGTATAAAACAATAGTGGATTTAGCATACATTTTTAAAAGGTATATTTTTATATAACCTTCTCCCTCTACACACTTTGATCAATTCAAGAATAATTCATGCCATTGTATTGTTAATTTGAAAGCATTAAAAGTGCAGTTTCTTGTCTCTCCTCCTTGTATTAATCAAGTGGTTGAGGTTGATATAGGATTTAGTAATATGTAGACCAATACTTTCTAGAGATAGTAATTATTACATTAACTACACCGTTGAAGATGTCATTTGTTGTTAATAATTCATAACTATTTTAGAGTAACTGTTATAATATCAGAGGTGAAACTGGAAGAATGTTATTCAACCTAAAGTAGTCTACTATTACTTTGATACATTTTTACTTAAGTAAAAGTAAAAATACCAGTCTAAAAAATCTACTCAAGTAAAAAGTAGTTAATTTAAAACATGAGTAAAAGTTGCTGAGTAACTTGTTTAACAGCTGGGGTGGGGTGGGGTGGGGGACTCCCCCATGTGGGGTTGTAACGTATGAGAGTTTCACAGTATGAGAACCGTCTCAGAAAATTTCACGGTTTATGGTATTAAACAATTGTTAAATATATAAACTGCATTATTAAATTACGGTTATTATTTTCATCAGTTAAAATGACAGTTAAATAAATTAAACATTTGTTCAATAAAACATAATATCAACTAACTTCAATAATTGATTATGATTATGATTGACATCTTATTTTTTATCATGAATAACTAAAATTTTATTACAATTTTTTCAATGATTTAATAGAAATATATTATCCAAAACAGTGGTAATCAAATAAAAGTTTAGCAAATGTTTTAATCCTTTTATTTTTTGGCAAAGTGCTGCAAAACAGATTTAGTCAATTAAACCATGGACAAACAATATATATATATGAAGAGTTCAGATGCAAAAGCCTCTAAGTGCCATTTGAAATTTTCCTCTTTAATGATGATTTTTACCAAACTTGTATATTTAAGTTCAGTAATTTCACTTAAATGGCAATGAAGATTACCTATTAATTGCCATTTAAGTGAAATTACTAAACTTAAATATACAAGCTTGATAAAAATGACCATTCTAGAAGAAAATTTCAAATGGCATTTAGAGGCTTTTGCATCTGAACTCTTCATATATATTCCTTAAAGAATGTGTAAATACATTTTAGTATTATTGTTGGTGTTTAAACAGCACTTCCTCTTTAAAAAAGGGGAGGAGACCGCAAGAAACTCTGGGTTTACTGAAGAAAACCTGCTCCCGACCAGGTTAGGTTCACAGAGTAAGTTACCATGGTAACTGACTCTGAGTATAAGTTACCTCTCTTTCAGAAACGGGCTTGACTTACTCTGCTTTCTCGGGTTTGATATACCCCCCTTTCTGAAACGGAAAACCCAGAGTTTCCCTCATTTCAGGGTTAACATACTCAGAGTTTTCACTTAACCTCCTTTTTGAAACAGGCCCCAGGTCGTGCTGTACAGACTTAGTCTATGTCAGTCAAACATGTCCCCCTCTGTTGATAATTGTTAAGGACTCTCTTAATAATTCGATATTAACTTAGCCATTTTTTCTTTGTTGTTGCCGTCAAATCTACACCCTTTTCGTTGATCTCAACCCCTGACAGACGTCCATCAACGAATTCACAATTTCAATTTAAAACTACATCATGAATGACAAAACTATTACTACTAGACAGAGCTTGATGACCAATCAACTTAAAGCTCGTCAGAATTTTCAAGTCAAGTCAAGTCACATTTATTTATATAGCGCTTTTCACAATACAGATTGTATCAAAGCAGCTTCACACTGATAACATGAAAGTAGCACAACACAGGGTCAACAACCTTGCTAAACACTAAATAATCCCAACTGAGCAAGCTCAAAGCAAGCCAAAAGCAAGGCGACAGTGGTAAAGAACCAAAACTCCATCAGATTGGATGAAGAAAAAACCTTGGGAGAACCCAGGCTCAGTCGGGGGCCAGTTCTCCTCTGGCTTACATTCATATTGTTTAAATATAAATATTAAATATAAATATTGTTTATGAATCAAACGGCGCCATAACATATCGCAGGCGTTGAGTCGTCTCATCACAGGCGTTGAGTCGTCTCATCACAGGCGTTGGGGCATCCAAAATCCCCGTGAGAGGCTGGACACAAAACTGGACCTGACGAACGCCATTTTTCTCGGGACAAGCGTCCCGAGATAACAGCAGAAAGGCAGATGGGAAATAATTAGCATAGCTGATGTTCATAATGATTTCCGTAATAACTCACAAACTCTCCATAACCTGAACTCTCCGCAACCCAACCATACGCGCCGACCCGTTTGTCTAAAAGGCTGTCGAGCCCCACTGGTGCGTTAAGCAGTTTCAGTGGCAAACGGTTCCGTATGGCATAACAGACGACTAAAAGGTAAGCATTATGTGAATGCTTGACTAAAGAGAAGCGTCTTTAATCTAGTTTTAAACTGTGTAAGCTAGTCAGAGGCTCGGACCATATCGGGAAGGCTATTCCAGAGTTTTGGAGCTAAATGCGAGAACGCCCTCCCTCCTTCGGTATAGACTTCGATATCCTAGGAATGACCAGAAGCCTTGAATTTAGTGATCTTAAGGAACGTGGTGGATTGTAGGGCGAAAGAAGGTCCGTTAAGTACATAGGAGCTAAACCATTTAGGGCTTTATAGGTCAGTAGTAGTATTTTGTAGTTGATGCGGAACTTAATAGGTAACCAGTGTAGAGATGATAAAATCGGTGTTATATGATCATATTTTCTTGACCTAGTAAGAACTCTAGCAGCTGCATTTTGTACTAACTGTAGCTTGTTTATTGAGGATGCAGGACAACCAGCTAATAAAGCATTACAGTAATCTAGTCTCGAGGTCATGAATGCGTGAACTAATTTTTCTGCATCAGAGATAGATAGCATGTTACGTAGCTTAGCAATGTTTCTAAGGTGGAAAAAGGCTGTTCTTGTAACATATGAAATATGATTTTCAAACGACAAGTTGTGGTCTAGTATAACACCCAGGTCTTTTACTGTAGTGGATAAAGTAACAGGACATCCGTCTATATTAAAGTTGTATTGTGAGAGGTTTTGTGAGTAGTTTTTTGGACCAGTAAGTAATACCTCCGTTTTATCTGAATTTAATAGCATGAAATTACGCGTCATCCAGCATTTTATATCTTTGAGACACCCTGTCATTTTAGATGAGTTAGTGTTTTCATCTGGTCGTGATGAAATATATAATTGAGTGTCGTCAGCGTAACAGTCGAAATTAATTTTTATGTTTTCTT